CGTCTGCAGTGAGCCCTTTCAGTCGGCACTGCCAGGCACAGGGCATGCTCCCAGCAGGACCTTGGTGACTCTGGAAATGGCCTGGCAAGGGCACTGGGCACCACCATCAGAATGATGGAGTAAATAGGTGTTCGGAGACCCAATTTCCAACATGGGGGGGTTCCCCACACATACAACAAGTAATTCTCGGGCACCAGCTGGATGTCCTACAATTGAACTCAATTCTGACACAATCTACCCAGAGACAGTATCAGATTCCACAGGTTAAGAGTTCAGTCCTACAAGACTGCCTTCTCCCTTGAGACACCAGTCACAAGCCCAGGCTGTTACCTGTGCTTCTGCAGATTGGCGGCTCCAACGGCCCCCGCCTTGGCAACTCAATTCAGACTCTAGTCGCAAGCCCAGGTTGTTACCTGTGCTTCTGACCCACTGGCTATGAATCAGAGGTTCCCACGACCTCCTCCTTGGATTTTTGCTAGAGCGGCTCACAGCTCAGAGAAACATTTTACTTACTGGATTACAGGTTTCTTATAAAAGGATATAACTCAGGAAGAGCCCGATGGAAGAGATGCACAGGGCAAGGTATGGGGAAAGGGCGCAGAGCTTCCATGCCATGTCCAGGCACCCCACTCCCCCCAAATCTCCACATGTTCACCAACCCACAAACTCTCCGAACTCCATCCTTTTGGGTTTTTATGAAAGTTGCATTACATAGGCATGATTGATTATGTCATTGGCCAATGGAAATTGATCCAACCTCCAGACTGAAAGTTCCAACCCTCTAACCACATGGTTGGCTCCCTTGGCAACCAGCCCCCACCCTTGAGTACTTTGCAAAAGTCACCTCATTAATATAAACCCAGTTGTGGTAGAAGGGGCTTGTTATGAATAACAAGACTCCAATTTCACCTTTATGTCTCTGCAGAGATTTCAGGAACTGAGGACAAGAGACCAAATATTATAACAAAAGAAGCTTCCTCCTCTTATCGTGGAGGAAATTCCAAGTGTTTTGGGAGCTGTGAGCCAGGAACTGCAGATGAAGACCAAATATCTATGGGAAATATATTTTGGTCATCTGAATGACCAAATACACATATTTATTATAAATCATAATCTCTCATGGAGCAAAGGAGGTGCTGAGGGTTTGTCATTGTGAATGACCTTCCCGACTCCCACCTGAGTCCATCCCCCCATACCCTGCACCTGCCACGGGTGCCCAGGCTCCCAAGGGAAGTCTTCCTCAAGCAGAAACAGGCTGCGTAGCACAGGAAATAGGAGATCTGGGGTCAGAGACCAGGCTCGGCCTGGCTCTGCTCCTTCGCCAGCCCTGGAATGGCAGGCAAGTCACCTCATTCATCTCGCTGTGCCTCAGTTTCCTCACTTGTACAATGGGCACATTTGGAGTGACCCACAGTAGAGACCGTGGTGGGGGGGTGTCCTGTCTGCTAGCTGCAGTTCCTAGCACAGTGCCTGCCCACGGGGGCCTTCACTAATGTCTGTGGAATCTGAGCCCCGAGGGTGGTTGCCCCAGCCCCCTCCTCCCTTCCTGCTCCTGCTTCCTCGGGCCTCCTAGACGTGGGGCCTGACATCTGAGGCATTGACATCGGTGTTGGGGAGGCCAAAAGACCTGCTCCACTCCCTTCTCTGGAGGCTGGTGCATTCTGTGTGCGGAAAGAGGCTGTTCCCTCTAGGGGAGAAAGGGACCGATCAGATTCAGTGGTGTGAAGGCTCTGGGCTGAGCACCTGGTTCCAGGGAGGTGGGAGAACAGACACACCGGGGTGCCGTGGAGCCACCTTGCCTGTCACTGCACTTGCAAGCAGCAGTCCCTCCCTGTTACTGCCCCCGTGGGGAGGTCAGCTGGGTGCCCCCTTCCCAACAGACCCAGTGCGTGCAGGGACAGACAGAGAGGGTGCAATCCCATCAGAGACGCTCACCCATCTCAGGCCCCCATCCTACTACACCTCGGTGCGTGCAGGACTTTACAAAGGGCTCCGAATGCAGAGTCTCATTTGAGCCACAGAGCAGCCTAGCTGTGTGTGAGAGGGGTGGGGTGGGGTGACGGCTGCATTTTATGAAGATAGGGAGGCCAGACTGGAGGAGCCATCGAGCTGGACCAGACCAGGGATGCCACCGGGTGCTGCACAGGGGCCCAGCCAGCGTCCCCCCCCAAGCACACCCTCACACGCTCCACTTTCTCTTTAAGGAGGGAAGGGGCTGCTTCTTCCCTTGTCTTAGACTGGCTTTGCCCACAGGGCTATCACTGGTATCCAAAAAGATCTCCATGACCTGGACCCCAAGCAGGGCAACTGGGAGGGGCAGCAAGTGACCGGCTTCAGAGCACCAAGTATTGAGGACGAAGAGCACAGGGTGTGGCTCCAGAGTCAGGGGCAGCGGCACCCTCTGACCCTCCACCCTTCACTCAAAGTTCTGGTTGGTTCTTAGCATCACAGCTGGAGAAAGTTGCCACCACCAGCCCTGGGGTCACTGAGATCTGTGAGGGAGGCTTTCTTGGTGTTGCAGGCAAACAGCTGCAATGGCTCCAGGACAGTAGCTCTCGTTGGGGGGTGGGGGAACCCCAAGCCATCCGTCATCTACATTCTGAAAACTCCTTCTGCACTCCAGGTGGTCATACTCTCAGCTCCCTCTTGCCACCTCTCCCTGGAAGTCCAGAGGTGCCACAGGAAGCCTCCAGCTATACCCGCTCATATTGTCCCTAGGATCTGGGCTGACACTGGGCAGACCCCTGCCGGCCGGGATGCAGGGCTGAAGTCCTGGAATGCCACTGGCAGTCATCGTGGCAGCCCCCCTATGCAGAGAACTGTGTTCCAGGGACCAGCTCACACTGAAAAACGTCACACAAGAAAACACACTACGAGGGCACTTGACAGACATTTATTGAGCACCTACTATGTGAAGGCCCCAAACGGGGCTCTAGGAAACGAAGTCAATACAACCCAGTCCCTGCCCAGAAGGAGCTCACAGTCTACTGCGCCAAACCAGCCGTCACATTAACAGTAGCGAAGGCGCATTTAGCTTCACGATTTTACAATGAGCTTTTATATACGTTTTCTCAATTGGGAACATCCAGCAACACAGCCACGTTGTTCTAAAAGCACACCGGCATAAATGTAAACACAGCCACGATTGAAAGGACGGACAGAAATCACCTGCAATAATTCATATTTGCGGTTCAGAGCCAGATTCTCAGCATTATTTATTCTTTCCTATCAGGTAGGACACAAGTTTTAGCCAATCTGCAGAAATGGTGGTAGAAACACGGCGGGTGCTGTGGCCCCCTTGACATCACACAGGAGCCACCCTAGACACACAAGGTGTCCTGAACCTCTGCCCACTGCCTTTTCTCCACCACAGCCCGCCATGCATCTTCTCATCTCCCCTGGACAAGGGCCCCACACTTCCTCGGGCTCCAAGTGTCAGATGGGGAGAAAGGACCCAGTCACATGAGCCCGCCACGCTGCGAGATGGCTCACAGCTGGCCTGGCCCACAGATGACACAGCTCAGATAAACACATAGCACAGCGTGCTCAAGTCCAGAACCTTCCTGATTCAGAGATTAGCTCTCTGGTCAGTTTCAAAACATGGCTGGGTTGGTGTTGAAGGGGAACAACCACCTTGCGAGGCCCACTCATGTCCTCTCCCCTGAATGGGCGGTGTTCATCAGGAGCACGGTCCTCTTTAGCCCACTTGCCCCTGGATTCTCAACGGGACATCGAGTTTGGGGTCTGCGAGGGAGCTCTGTTAACACCAAAGAGGAAAAACGAGACCCCACACAGATTTGGCCTATGACGGTCAGTTGAGGACGATAAGGTCTGGTAAAGAGACCAAAGGGGGCCCTCTCCTGACCCAGGAACAGGGAAACCAGGCAAAGGCTCGCGCTTAACTGAGCCAAAAAGAGGGCGGGACAGAGCTGCGAGGCTGAGTGTGCGGAGCTGAAAGGTGGGAGAAGGCAGGACTGCCTTTAGGACCCATGTGTCTCCCCATTGTGGGGCACAGGGCATCTCCTCCCTCTGCCGGCTAGACACAACCATTTGACTTCAGAAAGGTCAGGGTAAGTCTCACCTCCTGGGATTTGAGTGGCCCTGGGTCCCCCTACCGAGGCCTCTCCGGGACAGAGGCTTACCAAGTCAGAAGGTACAAAACATGAAAGAAAAGGTATTTATGACCCCATTTCAAGGGCAGCAGTAAGGGGAGGGCATGACGTGCCCCTCTGTGACTGACACCAAGTCAGCCCCAGTCCTCAGGCCCGAACCTCTGGGATGGGCAGCTTTCTGGCTCCCAGCCAGGACAATCTTTCAGCCCTCCTGCCCCTCAAGGTCGCTCCAGGAGGCCAGATGTCCTGGTAGCAAACCCCTTCCCCCAATGATGGCCCAGACGGAACTCTCTTAATAAAAAAAAATAATTTATTGTCAACAAAGGAGATATATACAACAGGAAAACATGTGAAAAGGAGAGTGGGAGTGAATGGAGCCCCCAGGAGGGCTGTTTGGGCCTCCTGCGGGGATGGAGCAGGAAGAGGTAATGGAGGCCTCCTGGTTCAGAAGCCTGAACAGGTGGGGGAGGAGAGGCGTCCCCCGAGGTAGTGGGACTCGGTTCAAACCCCGTTACAACCACCTCTTGTGTAAGGCACTGTGCCAAGGGAGAAAGGTGGGGGGCTGAGAGAGGCTGGGAGGAGGAGCGGGGGACAGAGAGGTCTGGGTCAGCAAAAGGATTGGGGTGGGTGTTCTCCACAGGCCCAATGCCCTACCGCACGCCGGCCCTCAGCCACCCTTGCCCACCTCAGGGCCTGGCCTCTCGCCTGGCCAGCGGCAGACATCTCCCAGTGCCCCCAGGAAGAGCAGACGCTGCCCCTTCCGCTCCTCCATCCTGCCAACACCTGGTTATACTCTGTCCACCAGGTAGCCCAGCAGGGCAACTCTGAGTGATAAGCCAAAGGGGGACACTGCCTCCTCCCACCCCCCTCCCCGGGGAAAGCAAGAACTTACACACCACCCTCTGCCCTTGGCTGCCCCCCCACAGTGGTGTTGGATTCCGAGAGAACCGCGGGCCAGTCTGGGGTATCACCTGCTCCCACTCTCTTGGTGCCCTGGGGGGGCTTGGACCAGTCTTGCAGGAGGTTGACTGCCGGGGGCTCCTCCATCCGCACGCGGATAACCTGGAGATCCAGTGTCCCGCGGAGCCCCGGAGGGGGAGCTGGGCAGGGATGGGAGCAGAGAGCAGAGTCAGGGCCCTCCAGACACCCCCAACCAGGACGCTCCCTGAAGGTCTCTGCAAACTGCACCCTCATTTCCGGGCCCTCGTTTCCACAGCCCGGCGCCTGGTATGAGGGGAAGCCAAAGGATGACGGGAGGCTCCCCTCTTGGTTCATCCAGGGGCCACTACCAACCTGGAAACAAGGTCACGGCTCTTCAGGCTGAAGCCCGACGCCCTCCAGAGCCTTCCAGCCTCCTGTATTTCCACACATGGATGCTCAGTGTTGTACTCCTCCCTCACCTCTCACCTTCAGCTGACTCCATTTCACCTGAAACTTAGTGGGCATCCTAGCCTGATGGGTTCTGCCCTGGGTGGGCAGAGGTGATGAGGTGGGGAACATCCTAGAGCAGAGTAAGACGTGGCTTTGCCCACCATGGAGCTCACGAGTGAATGTGCAGGGTAGAGAAGAAAGCACTGGGCAGAGGGTCCTGGGTTAGCATCCCAGCTCTACTGTGCAACCTCAACCTGGCTCTTTATCCCCTGTGAGCCATTACCTACCACACGGGGATCAGATGTCCACCTCAGCTGTGTGGAGAAGCTACTCATACTGGGCAAAACTGGGCTCAACAGAGGGAAAGTGGACTGCACACAGCTATTGAGCAGCTACAAAAACGTCCCCTGGATGAATGTCAATTATTTCTCAAAACTGAAAAAAAAACAATGTCCCCCGTGACATGGGCATGTGCAAAAGTTACACTGAAAAGCAAAACCAGAAAATGGTGATTGCAACTGTTGCAATGTCTGGACCGAAAAGGACCAGTTTGTGGTTTTCTTCTATCTTTGTTTTAGAGGCACAATGACTTAACATATGGCAGAGAAAACACGAACAATTTTGCTCCAGCTTGCTAGGGTTTAAAATGACTTGATGGCTGCCACTGGGTTGTACAACTGAGTAAATTCTGCTTTGTATTCACATAAACTGGTTTGTCTCCCTGACAAACTGTAAGCTCCTCGAGGGCAGGCTGAACCCCACTCATTTGTTCCTTAATCCAAGTGACTTATGGGGCAACTATGCTGTGCCCAACACTCTTCCAGTCACGAGGGGTAAACCAGCGCATAGGGCCCACCAGCTGGCCTTCTTGGGATTTACGTTCCAGTGGCAAGAGCTGATCAACAAACAAAAGGTGCAATAAGCAAGCAAAGATGTATAGGAAATGAGGAGTCAGCTGTGCCGACAGCTGGGGGAACAGCATTCCAGGCAGGAGGAAGAGCAAACAGACACCCAGACGGAGCACGCCAGTGCCTGTGCAGTGTGAGCCGGGTGGGGTGGGAGAAGTAAAGATCCTGGGGTGAAGATCACTGGTCACCTCGAGGACTGGGCCCTGTGTCTGGAGTGTGATGTGAACAGCACTGGAGAGCTCCAGGCAGAGAATGACAGGCTCCTGCCTGGGCTTTCAATAGGGACGTGGGCTGCTGTATGAGACGAGACCACAGCGGGCAGACACCGGAAGCCAGGAAGACTGGTTAGAAGGTTGTTCCAGGAAGCAGGCAGGAGCCAGCTTGGACTGAGCTAGCGGCAGTGCAGGCAGTGAGAGGAGGATGAATTCTGAACATATTTTGGAGGTGGGGCTGATGGGTCGATGTGGGGTTTGACAGACAGAAGAGGCTGACTCTGAGGGTTTGGCCCAGGCAAAGTGAGGAACGTGGGAGGGAAGGGGAGACTGGGGAGGAGCAGAGTGGCGAGGGGAGGCGACTGGGGGTTCTGTGTGGATATGCCAAGTTTGAGAGACCTTCCAGACAACTAGTTAGAAATGCCAAAATGGGGGGCCGGCGCCATGGCTTAGCAGTTAAGTGCACACGCTCCGCTACTGGCGGCCCGGGTTCGGATCCCGGGCACGCACCGACGTACTGCTTCTCCGGCCATGCTGAGGCCGTGTCCCACATACAGCAACTAGAAGGATGTGCAACTATGACATACAACTATCTACTGGGGCTTTGGGGGGAAAAGGGAAAAAAAAGGAGGAGGATTGGCAATAGATGTTAGCTCAGAGCTGGTCTTCCTCAGCAAAAAGAGGACTGGCATGGATGTTAGCTCAGGGTTGATCTGCCTCACGAAAAGAAAAAAAAAAAAAAAAAAAAAGAAATGCCACATGGGCAATAGAAAGACAGGCTGGAACCCAAGGGAGAGGCCCAGGCTGGAGTGGTAAAGGTGGGCATCATGAACACATAAATGGTACCCAAAGCTGTTAACCTGGATAGGACCATCCAGGGAGTGAGGGCAGACCCAGACCCCTAGCTGGGGCATTTAGTCATTCAATCATTCACCAAAGACAGAAGCAGCCCCTATTCTGTGCTGGGCACTGGGATACCACAGACAAACATCCTGACCTGAAGGAGCTTACATTCTACAAGGGGGATGAAAGACAACAATAGGATCCACCTTGAGGACCTGCGAATGAAGAAGCAAGAGAAACAGATCAGCCAGTGAGGCAGGAAGAGAATCAAGCCAGCTGCTGCCGGAGAAGCCAGGGGCAGAAAGTGTCTCGAGGAAGGAGGGAGGGAGGGCTGGTTCATTGTTACTGCCAGATGAGGAAAGACAAGGACTGAAAACTGACACTGGATTTACTTTTATGCAAGTCAATGGTGACCTTGCCAAAAAAAGTAATTTTAGTGTGGGGTGACAAGGATGCGAGTTTGACTGGAGTGGCTGCCAAAGACAGACTAGAGGCAGTACGGAAAACACTTTCTGGCTTTGCTGAAAAGGTTTGGGGACAAACGACACAGTGGCTGGGGAGGGATGCAGCGTCCAGAGGGGAGAAATATCAGCTTTGTGCAGGCTGCTGGGGAAGATCCAGAAGAGAGGGAAAAACTGATGTGACAGCGAGAACTTATGGCAGGGAAGAGGGGATGGGATGGGCTCTGGTGATGGTCTAGAAGGGCGAGCCTTTGCCAGGAGCCATGCAGTTACAGGAGCAGGTGGACAATGCTTCTTAGCACTGCAGGCAGGGTGTCTGTGTGGGCGCAGTGGAAACACATGGGCTGCCCTGGGCGAGTGGCCTGAACAACGTACCTAACCTCTGCACGGCTCAGTTTCCCCTTCTGTAAATGCAAATCATAAGACTTCATATGGTGGTTTTGTGGATTTAAAGAAATAACATATTAACGTTAAGTGTCCAGGGGCTGGCCCCGTAGCATAGTGGTTAAGTTTGCCTGCTCCACTTTGGTGGCCTAGGGTTTGCAGGTTTGGATCCCAGGGGCGGACCTACATACCGCTCATCAAGCCCTGCTGTGGCAGCGTCGCACATACAGAACAGAGGAAGAATGGCAACAGGTGTTGGTTCAGGGCCAGTCTTTCTCACCACACACACACAGAAAAGTCCAGCACATAGTAAGAGCTCAGAAAGTTAGGGATCTCTCAAAGCAATGGGATTAAAGTGTCAATTCTTTCTGGTAGCAAGGAGGGCAGAGGTGTGGGTGGGTGGCGAGCATCAGGAGAGGGAAGCCTAAGACGTGGTAGAGATACCCTTGCAGAAGTCATGTGTGATCAGAGCCCAGGACCATAAAAGAGCAAGCCAGGAGGATTTATCAGGCTCTGGACAAGCTCAGTCCCTTTAGGCACCCCAACCCCAGAACTCCCCTCCTTCCCTCCTGGCCCGGCCCAAACCCCTCTGCTTCCCCGGCTTCCTCCACGCTGTGCGTGTGTGTGCACACGTGCACACCTTCTCCAGGGGGTGGGCCCGGTCCATTTCTCTTGTTCCTCACTATGGCTTGTCTCCGAGCAGTGACTCTGGAAATGTCACTAAGAGAATGACAAGTGAAGGCAGCCGCCATCCATTTATCTTTCAGTCAATCTTCACTGAGATCTTTCTCTGTGCCAGCCACTATTCTAGGTGCTGAGGATACAGCAGTGAACCAAGACCTTGCTCTTGGGCAGATCTGTCACACACACACACACACACGCACGCACACGAGTGCATACTTTTTTTTCTCCTTGGTCCAGCCTGGAAACATACTGGGTCTGGACAAGGTATTCTAGGCCAGACTGCCAGACTCAAATTAAACATCAACTAGACAAAAAGGCTCTTTTTTCCACTATTCGTGTGAGTGGGCCCTCAGGACCCACCTTCTCCCCTGGCTTGGACACCCTCCCTACTCTCATCCTGCAAGGCCCTTGGAAAGTTCTAGAAAGTCTTCCCTGACTGCTTCACATTCATAACCATCAGCTCAGCTGACCTGACCACAGTGAGCTTTTCCAACTTCTAAATCCTTGAGTTTTAAAATTCTTTTTTAAAGTGGTAGGATCTTTAGTCAAATAAAATCTTCTGAGAATTTCAATACATAAAGCAACTCAAAGTGAAGACATTTGGTTGAAGCCGCAGGACTCTAAGAAATCTGTCCAAGCTTTGGGTCCCTGAAACGGCCTGAAACCGCTGGTCCGGAACCTTTGCTCTGCACAGAACCACCATCAGTGCCGCACTATTCTCTATGTGCTCCACTGCCTCTGACCTGTACCCCCAGAGAGTGAGTTTCTTGCAGACAAAGGGTGCCTCACTCGTGTCATTTCTCAGAGTGCCTCCCTCGGGCCCAGGCTGCAGGAACACTTGTTGCTGCATTACTTAGTGTCTTCTGCAGCGTCTGGGCCATCTCCAACCTCCACAGATCCCGCCACTGTGGAGAACACGTCTCAGTCTCCTCCATCCCTCTCACATCCCTCAATCAGCCTGGGAAACCCAGAGTCTCAGCTTGGCCCACTCGCCCCACATGAACCTGCAACCTCAAGGACTCCCTTCTCAGCTACTCACCACACCAGACAGGTGGAGTTCGGGCACAGGGTACCCCAGGACTTGAAATGAAGGCTCCCTTTCGAGAATGAAACCAGAAGACCCATTAAACAGTGGAAGAGGTCAGCCGTTTAGAGCAGCGATCCACTGGGGAGACGGACAGACTCAGGAATCCCTCAAGTCCAAGCAGGGCACAGTGTCTCAGGGAGGCAGGTGGAATGTGACTCAAGCTGAAACTTGAGATAGTTAAAACCGTGATCTATGCGAAGGGATGAGGCCTGCCTCGAGATCAGAAAAAGCAGAGCCCATTTTGGTAAAAAATAAATGGCAGTGCATGCAAGCACATACACACACATAGAGCTTTGTGAGACCAAACTACGAACAGTGGTCACCACTGGGGAGTGAGGTGGGGCTGGAGAAGTGACATATTTGCTTTTATCTTTATGCAAAAAGCACACCTCCTTTGTGAGAGCCCTGCTCTGGGGAGCCTCTGGTATCTTTCTTGGGGCTCTAACTCCAAACACATATTTCAGACAGGCTGGGACAAGGCACCCTCTGCGTCACTCATCCACTCCTTCAAGAAGCATTTCCTGAGCCCAAGATGCTGCGAGCAGTGCCTGGTGAGACCAAGAGGAACCAGGTTCAAGCTCTGCCCTCCTGAAACGCATTCCAGTCTCACCTGAATTCTGCCACTGCTTGGTCATGTGACTGCGGAAGGCAGAACACCGGTCCCCCAAGATGTCCATGTCCTAACCCTCAGGATCTGTGAATATGGTGTGCTCCATAGCAAAGAAGAATTAAGGCCACAGATGGAATCAATGTTGCTAATAAGCTGACTAAAATAAAGAGACTATCTGGATGATCTCGGTGGGCTCTCTGTGATCACAAGGGTCCTTAAATGGGGACGAGGGAGGCAGAAGAGTTGGAACCAAAGATGGCATCCTGAGCAAGATTCTACTGGCCACTGCCACTCTGAAGATGGAAAGAGACCACGAGGCAAGGAATGCAGGCGGCCTCTAGAAGCTGGGCAAGGCAAGAAAATGGGTTTCCCCCCAGAGCCTCCAGAAAGGAACATGGCCCTGCCCACACCTTGATTTTAGCCCATTGAGACCATTCCACACCTCTGACCTCCAGAACTGAAAAGTAAAAACTCCGTCTTGTTTTAAAGCCACTAGGTTTGTGGTAATTTGCTACAGCAGCCATAGGAAACCAAGGACCATGGGGAAGAAGTAACTATCTCTCTGAGACTCAACCTCTCCATCTGGAAAAGATATTTTTGCAAGAGCCAAATGAACTGCATATAAAAGTTTCTTAAAATCTGAGGACACAATACAAACACAAGCGCTTCCTGCTCTCATTAGGCAACTCATTGAGTTGCTTTCCCCACGGCGGTAAACGCCGAGTGCTCGCCACTGGTCTACCCTCCTGTGAACGGCCACACTCGGGCCCCTGTTCCACCAGGGCGAGGTGGGCCCCTCTCAGGCTCCTGCTGGAATCAACCGTAAGTGTGGTGATGGGTGTCGGGCACCGTCCTAGACCAATCTAAGGACCAACTGCAAGACACTCCCACGGAGCTCACAGAAAAGCTCAGCTCTCTGGTCAGCCTCCCCCATTCAAATCCGCCTGTCCTTGGCCCCATCTCCCAGGGGACCTGAGCACCAACCACCCCTACCCTGGGTTCTGCTACAAATCTGCTTTGCGGAGGCCAGACCCCAGCGATGCGGCCTGCATGACCCCCTGGAGCTCACCTGAAGAGGGGCTTTCCGGCTGGGGAAGGACTCCTGCTGCTCTCCCCTCTTTGGGGGAGTCCTTGCTGTCTGAGGCCCTGAGCTGGGTGTGGGAGAAGAGCTGGAGGACGAAGCCGGGCGGGAAGCTGCCATCGGTGAAGTGTCGGACCTCAGGGGGAGCTGCGAAAGTCTCTGTGGGCGACTCCGGTGACGGAGGGTCTGGAAGGGAGGACAGGATGGAACTGTGAGTCCAGGAGGCCTGGCTGCCTAACCCCACCAAGGGCAGAATCCAAAGGCCTGAGCCCGAGGCCTCAAGGGAGACACAGGTGCCCTCAGCCTGGGCCCCAGCCCCCCTCACTGACCCAGCTTTCCTCTCGGAGCCCCCGCCCGTCCCCCGCTTCACCTGGGTCAGGGTCTGGGTCCAGGTCCAGGTTTTTGGTCATGGGTCTGCCTCTTTTCTTTCTGACCGGCTCCTCCCCAGAGGACTCCTTCCATCTCTGACCACGGGGCTTCTTATTTCCTGGCTCTGTGACAGGGGCAGCTGCAAAAAGAAAAAGTTTTACCTCTTTTTAAGACGCCATCCCTGAACCCTACAACCTCGTGGCTGCCAAACACACTCGCCCACCAGCCTCTCCCCACAGAACAGCACCCAGGTGCCAAACACACCTGCCCAGCAGCCTCTCTCCCCCCAGAACATGGAGCCTGTGCTTCCCTCGCCTCCCAACTCAGCCTCACTGGATTCCAGGATGACTGACCGAGAAGCTCGAGGGGACGGAGGCCCCTAGGCCGGCTCCTTTTGGGCAGGGATGGGTTGTCCTCAGAGTCAAGGAGAACGACAATCTCTGCTGGCATTTTGGCAGGGTCAGGGTCGGAGTCTGGGTCAGCATCAACATCCTGGCCTGAGTCTGAAGGGGGCAAACGCCCAGTGAGCTCCAAGTGCTCCAACAGGTCCGACTTTTCCCTCTACTCCCCACCCCACCCTGGGCCCAGCTACCTGAGTTGGGTGGGGACGGCTGCTCAGCTCTGATGTCTTGCAAAAGGGCCACCCCCTCACTCCAGGCCTCCAGGATGTTGCTCTTCTCGGAAAGGCTCAGGTCCAGGGTGTGAGGGTGCTGCTCCAGGATGTGTGTGCGTGCCGTGTCCGCCGAGGGGGACCGGATCTCGGCCCCACACACCATGCACAGCGCCCGCCCGCTGCCTCCCGGGCTGTTCCCCACCAGGAACTCCTGCTCCCAAGACACCTGCTGCTTGGGCTCCTCACAGCCATCACCTCCTGCCTCCAGCAGGCTGGGCCTAGGTGGTGGGGTCTTCTCCTGTTGGGCCACTATGGAGGGAGAGGAGGATGTTATCAGTAAAGCTGCTCATGGCCCATAACACTCAGAATGCGATTCTCCAGACCTGGTGGTACAGTGTTGGGAGGAGGAACATTCCCATCAAAGTCTTTCTCTCCCTTCCCCTGGAGCCCATGAGGCACCAGCCACATTAAACACAACCTGTGACAGGGCTGGCCCAGTGGTGTAGTGGTTGAATTCCCAAGCTCTGCTTCGGCGGCCTGGGGTTTGTGGGTTCGGACGCCAGGTGCGGACCTACACACCACTCATCAAGCCATGCTGTGGCCGCACCCCACATACAAAAAACAGAGGAAGATGGGCACAGACGTTAGCTCAGGGCAAATCTTCCTCAAGCAAAAAGAGGAAGATTGGCAATGGATGTTAGCTTGGGGCCAATGCTCCTCACCAAAAAAAGCCCCCAAACACACAACCTATGTGCCTTGTTATCCTGCTACCTCCCCTCTGCACCTTCTTTCAATCTAGTCTCGGACTGTAGGGTCCACATGTGTTTTTCCAACACTCTGATCAGCCTGGCAAATTCCTGTATTTCCTTCATGGCCCTGCTCAAATTGTCACCCCTGTGAAGCCTTCCTGACAGTTGATTATACCAATATCTGACTTCCCACCGTGCACGCTTCCTTGAGGATGAGGACGGCACACAGCAGAAGAGATGCTCAATGAGCCTTTGGTCAGTGAATGACATGCAAGCCTGTTTCTCCACCTGAGGCCCCTTCAAAAGGCCACCTCATTCCATCAGAACTAGCCTCCCCGTCCACAATACTCCCAGAGCATCTGCAGCCATGATCTCGTCCCTGCGGGCTGAGTGGCACCTGCTCTTTGTGGACATGGAGCATAAGCTCTGACAGAGGTGAACCTTTGTTCAGCTCGACAAAGAAGGCAGGCTCAGACCCACGTTAGCCTGGCAGCTCAGTGCTTCTGCACCTGCGGGCTTTCATGGCTGCACCTCTCTCCCACCTGAGAGGGGGCGAACACCTGGGGACTGCCTGGAAGAGGTGGCATTTGAAATGGGTATGAGAATTGGCTTGGACTCAGAAGATCTAGCTCCACAGCTGGGTTGCAGCTATCTCCCATGAGACTGCAGACAGCAACCTTAACCTCTTAGCTGCAATCCGGCTTTCTTTCCCACTACTCCTCCAAAACAGCTCTTGTCAAGGTCACCGATGCTAAACCCGGCAGTCAGTTCTTAAACGTCCTTATTTGACCCATCGCTTCTTCCATCTTGACTTTTGTCACTTGGCCTCCAGGGCACCACCTTCTGTTGGTTCTTCTTTTATTTCCTTCTGTCTTCAGTCACCTGTGCTGGTTCCTCATCTCCCTCCCTCATCACCTCTTCTCAGACACTCGCGTGGCTCCCTCACTTCTTCCAGGTTGTTGCTGAAAAACCGTCTTCTCACCAAGGCCTTCTCTGCGACCCTGCAGAAAGCTGCCACCTGCCCCACCTGAGCACCCCAATCCCCTTCACTTCCTCCACAGCACACACCACCACCTGACACAACAGGTGTTCTACTTGTGTCTCCCACCACACTGCAGGCTCCATGACAGCACAGATCTGTGACCCTTCACACTCGTATCCTCCACACCAAGCACAGTGCCTGGCATGTAGTGGCAGTCAGTAATGTCTGATGAGAGACTGACTCAACCTCCAACCTGGAATCACTGGAGCACTCCATGACATCCATACACCCCTTCTGTCTACCTCCTTCCTCTGATGGTCTTGTCCCACTGCCCGCCTGTTGACAACTCCCACATTTATACCTCCAGCCAGACTCCCCACCATCGAGACTACCTGACCTCTCCGCTTACTGTGTTACAGACATTTCAAACCTGCCATGTCCAAACCTTAACTCCCCATCTCCCATGAGCCTCCCTCCCAGCCTTCCCATCTCAGTCAGTGGGTAGCCCATCCTTCCAGTGGCTCAGGCCAAAAACCTTGAATTCACCCTCTTCTTCTCTCCCACTCCAAATCTTGCAAGAAGCTTCTGCTTCAAGACCTTTATACTTGCTATTCTCTCTGCCTAAAATGCTTTTCCTCCAACTACCTACAAGGTTCACGCCTTCACTTTCTTTGGGTCTGTGCTCAAAATTCACCTTAGAGAAGCCTTTCCTGACCATTCGATATTCCAAATAAAACTCACCCCGCTGCTCTCTCCTCACTTTGCTCTCCTGTTCTCTGAACCACTTATCGCCACCTGACATACTGTACGTTTATTTATCTGCCTATTTTCGGTAATTAGTACATACACGTTCCAGAGAGAGTTCCATCTTTGTTGATAGCCATTAGCATGCCCAGCCTAAAACAGTGCCTGGCATACAGCAGGTGCCCAGTAAATACCTGTTGCATGAGTTAACTTCTCTGGGCTTCTATTTCCTCACCCCTAGCCTGGGGAATAAGGCTGCCCTTCCAGACGTGTCGAGAGGATTAATGGAGACAACTTGGCACGGAGCACTCAATAAATACTAGAAGTAGGCAAAGAAGCTCTCTGTTGGATAGAAAGCTCTGAGAACGGTAGCAGCCTTTATTTCCCTCTTATATTATAACCCTCCTGATTCCAAAAAGAATGAGAAGTAATACGCATCATTAGGTTCTGCTGGGGTTAAATGAATGAAAGGCCCGGCTCTCAACCTCTTTTGGGTACTGTCCCCCCCAAGGGAAGAGGTATCTTGGAATGAAAAGATATTTGCATTTTCATGAATATTAAGTCTTCCACTAAGATAGTTCTTTGTTTTCTTACGGTTTGCAAGATCCTGAGGACTAAAGAAATTGGTGAAGGAGGGGGGAAGCGAGTGTTCCCAAATTGTTTCTCAAATGCCCTCCGAAGGCCAATCTCCTCCCCGGGTGGCTGAGGGCCCCCCTAGCACAAACACTTCATTTCCCACGCTGCGTGCTGCATGCAATGCCATTCTCCCCCGAAGCTCTAGAAGCTGACACCTGTGGCTTATGCAAGTGGAAGGCCTGAGGATGCAAGGGCGCTGAGCAGCAAAGCTTTATCCATGGAGGGCCCTTAAAATTCTCCTCTTGGGAGGCAGCGGCCTGCCTCCATTCTCCGAATCTCTCCGGACACCGGGCTGCCGCGCCAGCCTCGGGCCGGGAGGCCTCGCTGCCCCCGCGCCTGCCTCCGCCTCCGCGGGGCGGGAGAGCGCGGCCGCAGACACGCAGCGCCGCCGGGAATCCGGCCGCTCGTGCTGGGCCCGGGGGAGGGGGCGCTCGGGCACCGGAAGATCCGGAGCGCGCGGGGCGTGAATCGAAGGCTCCAGACCCCGGGCGGGGGCGGGGGAGGGGGAACTCGGGAAGGCCTGAGATTCCAAACCCCGGGGAGGGAGGAGCAAGAGCGCGCCCGCGCCCCAGACCAAAGGGGGAAGGGGGCGCCCGGGCCCCAGACCCCAGGCGTGTGGAGCGCTCGGGCTCCAGACTCGGGGGTGGGGGGGATTGCGGGGGTGCCCGAGCCCCTGACCGTGACGCGGAAGTGGGACCCCCTCCCATCCTCACCTCTGAGCATCGGCTCGGGCCGCGGAATGACGGCCACCACCACGGCCTCCTCCTCCTCGTCCTCCCCTTCCTCGCATTTGAGCGTCACCTCGAAGCAGTCGAGCGCGGCGCCCTCGGCCTTCAGGGCCATGGTGCGGCCGGGGGGATGGCGGTGACCGGACGCCGGAGGACGGGCGCGCAGGCCTGGGCGCGCCGCCCGCGCCCCGCCGCTCACCGGCCGGGCCTGCGACGGGCGCGTCCGGGCCTCCCCGAGACCTACGCGTCGGGACCCCGGCCGGGGAGGGCTCAATCCGGGGCCCCAGCCCCCCGCCGCTCCCTTTTATGGAGGCTCATTGTCGGCGCCCGCCCGGCCGGCCCGCCCCCGACCCCGCGCGGCCAATCGCGTGTGGCCCCGCCTCGGGCACGCGGCTCCGTTAGATCCCGGGGACCCGCAGCGCGGCGGGAAGGGCGCGCGGGCTCCCGGCCGCCCTCCCGCGCGGTGGGGGCGATCGCCGGACCCCCCAGCGAGGACCCGCGCTCTCCCAGGCGGGGGGCGTTCTGAGCCTGCCGGCCGAGCCCCGAGGGTCACCCTCCGTTGAGATTCCAGTCAGGCATATTTGCTGGAAGGAAGAGCTACCAGGTGCCCCCAGATTTTGAACGGGGTCGCTTTTGCCTTTCCCTGAACCAGCCTTCCTCCGTCAGAAGATGCCGCGGGCGCGAAAAAAGCCGGTGGGGGAGTGGAACGGATTAACTGTTCTAGGCGGAGGACTTGGCGTGGGAAGAGTGGAGGCCGAATTCCTTCCGATTTGCCTGTGACCTTGGGCACGTTATCTGTTTTCTTTGACACTTCATCGTTTTTTTCGAAAAACATTGTGGAGCCTTCTGGACAAGGGAATGCAAAGATGAAGAGCCAAGTGGAGTGCCGGCGCACGCAAACCACCTCCGATTATAATTTCCATGTTTTAAACGTGAGTCCAGAGATTGCGACCCACCCCAAGGTCACACAGAAAACCCTGAGAGCCCCAAGACCGGAGTCCAGTTGCCATGACACTGCTGCCTCATACTCCTACTCTTGGTGAATTTTTACCTCGGTGACAGAATGGGCTTCTCCCTCTGCTGCAGAGACCTCATGAGATCGCAGTTGAGAATGAAACTCGCTCTTAAAATGCCCTGTATCAGACCAGACACAGAAGTTATTCAGAATCATGTAGTAGGTTGGGGGCGGGAAAGATGTGAACGAATCTGTATGGATTACAGTATATTTTTGGGTAAATAATTTTGTTATTTTCAGGTATATCCAGTACTTTCAAAGTTTTACAAATAAAGGTGTTACCAAGCCTATTTAATTTCTATCTAATGGTGGTTCTCTATCCTTTGGACAGATTCCTTCCTTGCCCTCCTGCTGTGCTCTTTATTGCCCTGCAGGGTGCGTTTTCTCAGGCTCCCAGGAAAGCTGCCTTCCACCTGGATTTGGCCAGTGGGAGACAGTGGCAGGAGACTGGAAGGTAGGAGGAAGGAAGAAGCCTGGGTATTTCTTCTCTTTTTCTCTCTTGCTCGGGCTCAGGCAGGTCTTCAGCAGCAGATGAGGCTCCTCTGTGGTTCCAGCTCCTACTGGAGAGGCTGCTGTGGGTCCATCTTCTGAAGGGTAGCCTCACCCTTGGGCTCCATTAATTCCGTCTCCTCCATTTGTACCTCTAGTTTAGGAGTGTGGACAGCTTCTTGTTTTTGCTAATCTCTGGGTTGCCTCATTGTCCCCTGTTGGGCTTCTCAGCCCTTCCATCACCTCTGTCACAGGTGTCACCAATACCCTGTGTTAAGTTCTCTGTTCTACGTACTTACAGTGGTTCTTATTTCCCTGGTGGGACCGAGTGACACACCCAATACTAATACCAAGCACTTTGTGGACATTATTAGTCCTCACAAGTCTCATATGGTAGATTGTATTGTTTCCACTTTACAGAGCAGGAAGTTGAGGCTTAAAGGGTTAAATTACTTGCCAGAAGTAATACAGCCAGAATCCTATTTCATCAATCTAGGATGAGCATTTCCCCCCATGTTTTAACATCTTTGAAATGGGGATGCTTTCTATAATGGACATCAATGTGAAGTTTTGGGAATATGAAGAAAGCATAAGGTGGCCCTGATATTCAGACTGTGATGTTACCTGCAGAACACAAACCATGCTTAGAATGAGACATAGATGAGGCCCCTTCGTGACCACAACAATGACTTCACCATTCTCTGAGTGATTGCTGCTTCTCTACCAAAGATAACTCTAGCCCTGCGTGAATCCTCGTGCCTCCTGGATAAACATTATAAAGATACCCAGTCTCTGAATTACTCCTGCCTCTTGACAGCATTCAATCCAGAACTGGTCCCCACTTCCCTAATCCCTCCCCAGAACCATGGAAGGAAAGCCCAAATTTAGGGAGACACACGTGAGAGTTTGTGTATTTCTGGTGGTCTTTAGTCAGAGGGCTTTGACAACCTTAACCAATTTACTTTGCTTACATTTTCATTTTTATGTATAGGAAGAGTGATATATAATAAAAATCTATGTCAAAATATCAGTAAGTCTAAAAGAGCTCTTTTAATAACTATAAAATACAATTCCAAGAGATAAGAAATCATTGTGGCAGAATTTGGCAGCATTTTTTTTCTTAGGGGTACATAAAATAATGGTTCATCTTGCAATCCCTGATGTTCTAGATTTAATGAAATATAATTGCAAAAGTAGGATTCAACTCCGGTTCTGTCGTCCTCTGTCCTTGCTCCTTCCACTACAATGCCACACTGCCTCTTAGTGAACTTGAAGTAGTTGTTAAATGAATGAAAGGATAGATATCATTAGCTCCAATATATACACGAAGAAACCAAATCTGAGAGAAATAAGTCATTTGAGATCAGACGACTTGTAAGTCACAGAGCCGTTCTGTCCAGATGCCAAGCCGGGGCTCTTTTCCATCACACCTGCTGCTGAGCGAGCCCTCTCCTCACTGAGCATCTGAGAGGAAGCTCCAGACCATCTTAGGTGGAGTTATTACAAGTTTCCATCCACTAGCTACATAGTCAGTGCAAAATGAGTACTTGTTGAAGGAATTGGAATCTTAATTGTTGAGACAGCCCCGTGGGGAAGAGAGAGAGTAGAGATTTACTAGACAAGTCAAGTATGTCTGTGACTTGTCTTTTGACTTAGTGCATTTGGTCTTGGAATATGAGATTCTTAAAACAGGAAGGACAGATTGGGGATAGGAGAGGTAGGAATGGATTGCTTCTGTCCCAGCAATTAGCTGCTCCAGGTCATTCCCCATAATGTCCCCTGGGCTGGAGGCCCAAGCTGGGATGATGCATTTCCTCTTGGTACAGCTTTTACTGTTGGTGGCATTTTAGGGCCTTGGTGACGAGATGGAGAGGGAGAGGGCTGCTGCAGGAAATAAAGCTAGACAAACTCTAAATGAGGAGACTAAGTAAGAGGGGGGATGTGCGGCTTCACTCCCAACTTCCTTGGTATTTTGTAGTGGTCTACAAAAGCCGTAATAAGTAATAAATATATGTCTATGCTCTTTAGCTTTGTAATCCTATTACCGAGAGTTACCCTAACGTCATCCTAAAGAAGAAAAATAATGACCTAACAAAGATGTTATAGTAATGTTCACTGCTTGAACTATTTATTCTCTAAAACTTAGCAGATTCTCACTCCTAGGTGAAATTTTATTCCATTCTTGCATGTAGTCAGGGCTCCCCTTCTCCTGGCTCTTGAATCAGTTGGAACAGCTCTATCATGAAATTCGGCACAGTGTACTGTAATTATTTGTCTGCGTATCCTAGTTCCTCGTAGTCTCTGGGCTGTTAGAGGGCAGCTCCATTTCTTGGCCATCTTTCTATCCAGCACTGGCCCAGGAGCTGTGGTGTTAGCACCAACTCGGTGCCTTCACTTCAGAGCTCTTGGAGATTTATTGGCCCGTGGAAATCAAGGAAATGCTGAATGCCCAATTGTGGGAAGGGCAGGGATACAGTCAGGCTTAGGAATAACTGACCCAGGACGTGAATGCCACCAGAACATTCCTTGCACCCTGGTCTCTGCCTCTTTCTGTGCATCAGCCTTATTCTCTCCTTGCAGATGGGCTTTTTCCACTTAGCAGGAGAGGTGGCCCCTGTTTCCCATAGACTAGCTTCTAGCTCTGCCTGTTTCAAACCTTGTTTTTCCTCCACTGCCCCCATGAGCCTCTGGTACTGGGCACTGTAGGACACACTCATATCACCAAATGACTTCTGGCCCTGCACTTTGGTGTCACAAAATGAGCTGAATCAGCTTAGTGGGCAATAGAATTTCTGGAAGCCATTCCTATTCAGGACAGCTATCAATAACTGTATAGGGAAGTGGCTACGATCTATATAAATCTATACCAGTAAACTACTACTAGTGAACTGGTAAACTACTACTGAATTCAACAGTTGGAAAATGCCAACCACCATCCCACCTCCACTTGACATGAGGGGAAGAATGGTGGGAAAGAAGGCAGAAAAACTCAGCCAATCGAATGTAATAAGAATTTTTGGAATGAATTAATATAATAGTAAAATGCTAGAAATAACCACAATGTCCAACAACAGAAATTGGCTAATTAAATGATGGTGTGTTAGCACCAAAAAGAATAGATATCCAGATTGTAACAGCATGGAAAAGCATTTATGAAATAATGCTAAGTGTGCAAACCCACCAACATATACACTATGATTATGTTCAAGGAAAAAACCGAATAACATTGATACAGATCGGAAGTAAGCATGAGAAATGGAAATAAATCTGTTGTGATGGCAGAATTATTGGTGAAAAAATATTTATAAACACATTTAAAATGTTATAAGTACCATCAAATTCATACAAACATTAAAAAATGATGATCTATATTTTTATACAGAAAGATATTTATGAAATTTTAACTAACAATAGAGATTACAAAACTGTATGTATCATAATCCTGATTATGTTAAAAATAACATCAGGGGAGCTGGTCCCGTGGCCTAGTGGTTAAGTTCGGCACTCTCCACTTCAGCAGCTCGGGTTCTCAGGTTCGGATCCTGGGCACGGACCTACACCACTCATCAGCCATGCTGTGGTGGCGACCCACATACAAAATAGAGGAAGACTGGCACAGATGTTAGCTCAGGGACAATCTTCCTCAAGTAAAAAGAGGAAGATTGGCAACAGATGTTAGCTCAGGGCAAATCTTCTTCAGTAAAAAAAAAAATTAATAATAATAATATCAATGTGATTATACATGTATGAAATTGTATAAGAATGAACACCAAGCTGTTAACATTGGTTAACATCCCTTAATGGTGGGATTATAGT